AGCAGGAAGGGGGAGCCCAGATATAAAAACCTCCCGTTGCATCATCTCCTCCTCCCAGGCTTTGAATGCTGTCTCAGTCAGAAGCATATGTCACACTGTGGCTTTCTGCATTAACCGACAGCCCCTTAAGCAGCAGGAGGGCCAGTGCAGCTTGTGTCCTGCAGCAGTTGAGGGCTGTGCTGCTGTCCTGCTTCCTCCCGTCCCAGGGGATGGCTGCAATGGGCCCCAAGCAGCTGGGCTCCCTTGTTTCTGCTGGGGCTGTGCTCTCACCATGCCTCTTGCAGGGTGGGGGCTTGGTGGTGGAGGTGAGGTGCAGAGCTCTCCACAGTGCGGGGCATCAAGTTCTTCATCTTGGAAGTGCCGGGACCTTTGGCAGTGCCTGGGAGGGAGGATGAGCAGCCAGGATCCATGACCGGCTGGGCTGGTTGGGGTGAGGGGTGGCTGGCAGCTCACAGAGCTGCTGCACAGTCTCTCTGTGCATCATCACACCATCTCCCCCTGCTTTTGTCCCCCAAGGGTTTTGTTGCATTTCTTTCGCTGCAAGAGGGCACCAGTAGAAGACAGAGGCCAAAGACCATTGGGTTATAGGGCCTGGCCCATAGAAAGGGGGGAAAAACAAGCAAATCTGGGAAGTGAGAGCCTGTCAGTTTACACCAGCAAAGCCCTAAGCTGGCAGGTCCTCTGGGCAGGGAAGGAGATGTGCCCGGTCAGAGGTGGACCTGAGATAGCAAAGAATCCAGCGGAGCAGGAAGAGCTCCATGCCCTTGGCCCCAGGTCAGACTGTGATTGCCAAATCACTGCGTGGGTTGGAGGTGCCCTCTCTGCGTGCCCCCTGGGCCACCCTTCACCCTGGATGAAGAGCTGGGGACGGCCTCTGGGCTGGCTGCAGGGGCTCTCTCCTGTGAAAGAGAAGTGCCTTTATCCCCAAGGCTCTGGAAGATGCTCTGGTGTCCTGGCACCAGTGGTGCAGCACAAGTGTCAGAGCAGCTCCTCTTCTGCTGCCACCTGTTTGGAGCACAGCCCCCTGCACGGCTGCCCGTCAGCCGGCATGGGCTGCCTGTGCTGCCAGCCCTTGGCAGGCAGCGTGTGGCAGCTAGTGCTGTTGTAGCTTCTCGCCAGATGCAAAATGATGGTCAAGCAAATGCAAGCTTGAGTGGTACGTGGATTGGAATGAAGGAGCATCACTGACAGAGCTCTGGTGAGAAATTACACAGCAGCTTTGGCATGTACCCAAAACTTCCCATGGTAGAGAGGAGCAGGATGCTTCTTGCCTTGTTGCAGATGTGCTGCGTCCAGCTGCTCTGTTTGGGCAGAGGACTGGCAGGGAGGCAGGTTTCCCGGTGGGTGAGGAGGCCTGAACCAGCCTGTAGCCCTGTCCCACTCTGCTTCCTGTTGGTGGTGACAAGCAAGCACATGGTGGGTGACCAAGCTGACTTGGGGCACTCTGACAATGAGTTTAAATGAGTGTCCAAACTCAGCAGGGTGTAACTTGAGCACTGGAGGGCTCCTGTCTGCCTCTCCAGAGAATATAGAGTCCTGATACCTGCCTGAAGATGTGCTTCTCATGGTCCTTACCAGTTCTCTGGCCAGGCCTCTTTCACTTGCAATAGGTCACCTTTTGTTGCTGCTTTGAGTAGTGTAAGCTGTCGTCTGGAAAGCAGGCTTGTATGGCTCTGGCTTGCTGCTGCTGAACTGCTGGCCCCCTTAGGAAAGCTGCCTTCTACCATTGACCTTTCAGCATCCATCAGTACATCAACAATTAACTGCACATGACTCAAGTGGAGAAATTTAGGCTGAGGGGGGAAAAAAACCCCACCTCTGACTGTCTAGTTCTGTCATTACCGCAGGAAACCAGAGTTAATTGCTATAATAATGTCTAATTGTAGCTGCTATCTAGAACCCACAAAAATCCACCCACTGTCCCCCATGTCCGCACCAACTTAAATGCTGACCCACGTCATGTGTTTGCTAGCAGTGTTGATGCAAACCACAGCCTTGGGTGCTGCTGCTTTTCTAGCAAGCTGCTGCAAGGCTGCTGTTGCCAGTCAGTCCCATACCTCCCCTTGCATCCCTGAGGTCAGCACAGTGCCTGGTGGGGCTGCATAACTGCAGCATCACTCTGAGACCTGGCACTGTGGGGTAGGTCTTGGACCATGAAGGATGTGAGGGCAGATACATCTCTTATCTCTTATGAGGTTAGGGTGGTGGAAAGTGTGTGTCATGTCCTCCTTGAGAGCAGGGTTTTTCAAAGTACCAACATTATTCACTTTTGCTTCTCAATTGACATTTCCCTGAGGTTTAGCTGCATGCGATGTGTCCTGGGCTCAGCAAGGGTGTGAGATGGGCTGGGAGTGGGAGCTCATCAGGAAACTGAATGCAGATTCCTGGTATTCTCTAGTTAGTGAGGACCGATGCCTCAAGGGCAAATAACTGGTGAGGTGAGCTGCAGGCGGTGTGCTGACGTGAAGCGAAGAAGGATTGCTCCTGTGGAAACCAGCATGATGCCCCATGGTCTGCCTTGCTGGGTCCTTGGGGCTGACATTATGCCGTGTCCGCCCCAACCGGTGGCTCAGTCCCTGGTTTCCTTGAGCTCAGCTTCCTGGCTGCGTCAGCCCATGTTCCATGGGACGACTGCTGCCCCATCCCCTAGTTTCAGGATGATTCATGCACGCTTGTACTCATGACTGGGTGTTTCCAGTCCCTCCCCGGGCAACAGCTGTACAAGAGCTCTGGATTATGCTGCCTCCGCTGCCCCCTTCCAATGCCAGGAAGTGGGACTCGCAGGGTGGAGCAGAAACTGTGAGGAGGAACCATGACTAACCAGCCTGGCTGCCAGCCCTCCGTGTCCCTGTGCCTGGTGGTGGAGGAGGAGAGGAACTAGCCTGAGCCTAGCGGATCTGAGCAGAGGGGGAGGATTTGATTTCTTTCTGAGCAGGACGTTCTGCCCATTCAGCAGAGCGTCATTAAATTTCTTACATGTGTTTGGAGGGAGAGAAGTTCCCTCCCCAAGCACAGCCTGCTTTCTGGCTGCTGTGCTGAGCACACACGGGTTACGAGGCCGCTGCATGAAGCAATGCCTGGTGACACTGCCTCTGCGAGAGGGCAGCCAGCGCTGTCGTCATCTCCACACCCTTCCCCATGGGAGGCCTTCCCAAACTCTTGCATCTCCACCAGCTTCTGTGAACAACTTGAAGAAGGCAAGCGCATTATGGGCTGGCTCAGCGTAGATGCTAGGACTCTGCTGCCCTCCTCTGGGACAGTTCAGGTTCTCTGTAGGAAGAAGCAAAGTCCCAAGCCTGGCAGTCTGAGGAGCACAGCACTAGAGATAGTTGATGTTCTTGTGCAAATGGATTTCAGGGCAACCCTACATGGTATTCACAGCCCTCTGCCGTGGACTGGAGTGGTGCAGTGGTGCAGCTTTGTTGCTTGTGCTCCTTTTGTACCCGAGTGACGTGTCCCCGTCTCTGTTCTTTCTGCACTGTGCCAAGCGTTGAGACACCTCCTGGGGTGGCCAAGAATAGCAGGGAGTTACAGGACCTCTCAAATTATGCATAGCACATCCACATCTTAACCTGGAGTTTGGTAAGCAGGTTGAAGGTGGTGCAGAGGTCTTTGTTTTTAAGCAGGCAGGTCTTGTTCCTTCAGTAAAAAAAGTGTGCTTTCCTGGAGGGCAATATGGCTCTTTTTTTGTTTGTTTCCTTTTGCAATTCACTTGCCAATATGCACTCTGCTGTAGTGACTCTGGATTTGTTAAATGTCTATGGTCCAGTGCAGGACAAAGGTTTCAAAACCAGTTGCTCTGTGGACACTCGTTCAAGCCACTCTGTCACAAGGGCGTGCCTCTGACCTGACCTCTGACAGGTCTCGGAGAAGCTCTCCTATGTGTTATTTAATGGGCATGACAGGAATACAGAGGCTTTGCTCACCTTAGCGAAACCAGCCGGGGTTCCCTGGAACAGGCTGATGCATAGCTCCGAGGGTTGAATTAGGTCACTTTTCCCATGCCCTAGACAAGGGACCAGTTGAAGTAACTATGTTCTGTTCTCCTGTTGCATTTGACCTTGATTTTGTTTTCCCCTCCCATACTGTGCGGACCGTAGGGCTTGGGAAGGACAGAAGGCAGGGTTCATAGGAGCCAGGCAGTCCCCAGATCCCTTTCAAGTGCACACACTTGGGCTGCTGTTCTCTCTTAACAGGAGTGCACTGGCGCCTTGGTCCAGGGAGCCTGGGGTTCAGGTGTGAGCCAGGGCCATCTTTGCCCTGCTTTTGTTGTCATGGGGTGTGATCTGAGCCCCCAGAACACTGGGGAAGCTGGTGGGAGCTTTGTGAATACACCATTAGGCTGTGGGGGCATAAAGAGGTGTATCTGAGTCCACAATACGGTTGTACTAGGCAGGTGGAGAGGTGGCCTCCTTCCTCTGGTCACGTAGCAGCCCAGGCTCAGTAGGAGCTGTGCTTCACCAGGGCTCTGCTCCCCAGAAAACCCTCTTCCTATGAGATTTCTATGTCTTAGTCCATCAGGGCTGTGTACCAGAGCCAGGGCACTGGAGCTCAAGTTGCATGGTGCCACTTCATTTATATAGACGTGGTTTCCTTTGCTCAGAAACGTAAATTCCAGTCCCTTCCAGGTAAATGTCTGCGCTGTTTGCATTTTACATTGTTTGAGCCTCAGTGAAGAATGTTTCATCTCTGTCTTGCTAGTTCCTGCTAATTTTCCATAAAGCTGCAGCTGGGGAACTCGAGGAGGACAGCGGCCTGTTGACTCTTGCGAAGCTCTCGGAGATAGATGTCTCTATTGAGGGAGTCAAAGGAGCCAAGAATTTCTTTGAAGCTAAGGTATGGTGTGGCATGGAGGAACATGAAAAATCTCTGCACACAGGCCTTCATCGAGACACCTACCCTGCTTGCTTTTCAATAGAAGATACTGCCAGATTTCTCCCTAGCTAAAAGGATGCATATTTCATGCCTGCCCCCCCCCCCAACCTCAGCCATAGCTTTTCCCTTCAAACTTTATGTTGGACTCTAGCTACAGCCTTCCTCTGCAGATCAGTCAACACTAGAACGACTTAATTTACCAACTCTGCTGTGGGTCTTACCCTGGTAGAGCTGACTGGCTGACCTGTGTCCCTGTGGCTGGAACCTCTATGGGAGTAGCTGGCTGACCACTTTTAAAGACAAAAGTGTCCTGGAAACTAATGGGACTGAGTTTCCCATTTTGCAAAACCTCCCTCAACCTGAACACTCTGAGTTCAGTGGTGAATTGGAGTATTTTGGAGTATAAGATTTCAGACATCTCTTTCTCGAGCGGCTCTCTGTAACCTTTGGAATCAAAATTGTTCTGCAGGGTCCTGGGGTTGGCAGCAAGAGCTTTGCACCATTCAAAGCTGACAAAGCACCCTTTTTGAAAGCTCTCTTGGAGAGAAAATAATCCTGGTTGTTTATATAAGAAGTTTTTTCCCAAGAGCATAACACAGCTATTGCACAGCAGATGTACTGAGATGAAAGCTGGAAAAATAGCCAGCAAATAAACAATGTCTCTTTGATCTGCAGATTATCTGTGGTGTAGTATGATGTTCTCAGATTTGGCTCTGATTCAGAACTGTTTTCTGCAGTAGTTTCTCCCACTGTATGCTCACAACTTATGCTATGCTGCCTGCTTACAGGAAGAATGTATATGACCCAGTACTGACAGCACTGTTTTGGTCACTTGTTAGTGACTTATTAGTAAATGACCTTTCTTCTATTGATGTTAAAGTCAAGCAAGCTAACAGGTATTGGGTGTAAATACCCAAGCAGTGCAGTGTAATTAATAATTGACCCATCCTGACAGCTTCCCAGCAAGCGCTGGGAGGTGCAGCAAACAGTTCTGCATTGCTCATCTGGGAGTAGTTCAGGCTCTGTCTCTCCCTCTGATGCAAGGCTTGACGTTCTTTTGTTTTCTCTTTTGTAAAGGTTCAAGCCCTCTCTTCAGCCAGTAAGTTTGAAGCAGAGATAAAAGCTGAGCAGGATGAACGAAAGCGGGAAGAGGAGGAAAGGAAACACCGCCGAGCGGCTTTCAGGGAGTTAAAATCTGCATTTACCCAGTAACCACCAGCCAATATGCACTGAGATTGCACATGACTTGGTACGTTTCCCTGGTACGCTCTACCTGGAGAGAACTGCCTGGATCCTGCCTAAAACTCATTACAGCTTTGCGCTAGCCTTCCTCTCGTGAAGATCCTCCTGAGTTTCTAAGGGCACAACTCTTGCAGTTACTATGCATTCATAACAATGTGAATCATAAGAGCTGTGTACGTGCTGTTTGCTCTGAACTGTCAGGTGCACATCACCCTGAAGCAGAAACAGCAGGTAGCAAATCACGGTGAGCACTGACAAGTGTCGTGTTTGCCGACTTCATTCCTTCCTTCTTTCCTAGACATCCTTTTTCTCTTAACTCCTTATTAATTCATTCCTTGCTTACAGGCAAGTAGTGAGGTCTTGTGTAAATCGGTGTACAAAGTACAGCTTGATTTCCTGTATGTTTGTACTGCTGTTGGGTGTTGTCATGCATCCTTGACTATCCCTTTTCTTCGTCCTCAAAGCTCTGTGCCACAGGCATTGTAAAAACACTGTGAAGAGAAAAAGATAGTTACTAGGGACATGGATCAAATTAATTATCATTTCCTGTAGCATTTTCTGCCGCCCAGCACGTTGGGAGAGTCTTCCAGTTTTTCTTCTCTGAAGTGCCATAGTAATAAACCTTTCAATAAGAGGTGAGATTTCCCAAGGCTTCGAAGGGAGGAAGCTGGCTCTCTCTTAAACAAGGAATAGAAAACTGAGTTGCCTGACCATGTATCTTCTTTCACATTCCATCACGTTTAGTGTACTGTATGGCTTCACTGTATTTTCCAGCCTTAGGCAGCTGTATCTGTATTTAAGGGATATTGCCAGCTGGACAATGCAATCAGATGGCACACTGGGGTTTTCTATTTGTAAATTTGCTCATATCTTGAATCATGAAGGTGACATTATTTGATTTCATTAGAGCCATGACAGATAACACCAGCCCAGCATAGTGAGCAATCCCTGCTCAAGAAGGGAAGAGCAGCGAGGTGAGCATGTTTAGCTGAACTGAATTTGGAGGACTTGCACTATATTATTAGCCATTTTCTTTTGCAAACACAGGAAACTTGTCCACAAATGTTAAAATGCCCACTGCTTGTCTGCATATATACACTGTAGGTCACGGCAGGGGAGCTGTGTTCCCTCAGAGACCTCTCTTGAAACATGGATTTGCTCAAATTCTGCCTCTGCTATTGCCCCAGTTTGTGCATTTTATTTTTCTTTCCAGAATGAAACTCACCAGTCATCTTTTCACTTGTCTGTTTTGCTTCTTAAACTGTGAGCACTAAACTGTGAGCGTGGAATAATAAATAGAAAAACCTCTACTCTTTAATGTCAGGTGAAAGAATTGCTAAACAATTAAACTGTGTATATATATCTTCACAGATTATATTTTATAAATCACGCTTTTTTAGCTAAAATATTTATAATTAAATGTTTTTATACTTTACAACAAAGCAGATAATTTCATCTTCAGTTATTTCTCCTGTTGCTGAAATGCACAAATAAAGCATTGTTATCTCTGGTCTTGTCTGTCGTTTACTTTAGGTCCTTGAATATACTGTTTTGTTCACAAATTTCAGTAGCAATCCCCACTCCTGAAGGTGCCCGTGTTCGATCCCCAAAGCTCGGTGTCCTGACTTGGATGAGAGAGGGAAGTGTTAAGCCCCTTCTTGATAGCACTTCCCCTTCTGTACAGCAGTTCTGGTTTACAAAGCCCTAATGTTTGCAATTCCTCAGAAAGGGACATGGCCGTGTAAATATTTGAAATACTGTCTACTGCTAAATGCTGACATCTGAATGTTGTCAGCCTTTCCTTATCTTAAAATAGCCACTGTGTCTCAGCCCCAGTAGTGCTCCAGCTGGGAGCCAGGCAGGTTGCTTCAGCTTTGCATTTCCTCTTTCTGTCTTTATAGAAGGGGGGGGGAAGTGGACATCTGAAAATGTGTCCCAGCATCTTGTTTCTGCTGTTGCTGATCTGCTAAGCTTTGCTGGCATGGCCAGTTCGGGGGGGCTCAGGAGGAGGCCTAATTATGCATCGTTGCAGGTATGATCCAATGATGAAACAGAAAACGTAAATATTTTATCCGGTGCAGCTCTACTCTGTGCGTTGTCAGCAGTCAATCCATTTGCCATGTGTCTGTGAGCCCTCGGGTCTTGGAGGTCAGGTAAAATCAGGGTGAAGGTTCCTTAGTCTCTATTTCCACAGGAAAATTGCAACACTGCAGCTCTTGATTTTTCTTTTTTTTTTCTCCACGGTGTAGCAAGCACTGCTGACTCGTGCTGCTTTGCACGTGCAGCTGGGTGAGGAGCCTGGGGCAGCAGGAGGAGGGGGTGGAAAAAGGGCTTCCAGTGGTTTTATTTTAATAGATTTGAGTAAACTCCAGCTGACAAGTTTCAATAAGGAAATGAGCAGTGTGTCTGTAGTAGTTTTTTTCAATTTAAGGGTGCTGTTAGTTGGGGCCTCTATTCAGCGCAGTGAACACTAAATGCTTCTGGATTTTGAAGTTGCAGCAATGCGAGTTTTGAAATTAGCTTTGCAAAAATTGACATTGGGAAATTAATTGCTTTCTAAATTGTTCTGTTTTGCTGGCAACTATTGGTTTGAATAACAATGTCATTAGGTTATGCAGAAGTACTAAAAGAAATTGTCTAGCTCAATCTCCCATCATACTGGCTGACAATACTTACTTAATTTTATTTACCTATATTACAGTCCTTGACACTCTGTCTTCCTTTTATGCCTGATGTCACCACAGGTGGCTATTGAAGGTCCTGGCAATCCCAACTCTCTTTACTGATAGCTGCTGATACATCAATACCTGTCTGGCACTCCTGACGTGCCCCAAGTGACTCTTTTTGTGATGGCAAGTAGAGAAGTGTGATGAAAAGCCTGTTGTGGTTACGGGTCCTTCCCAGAAGGGACGAAGACTTGCCTCAAGTCGCTCATCTCCTAGAACAGGAACTCCAGGTAGTCCTTGATCCCTGGAGGATTTTTGTTTCAAGTTTCCCAGAGTAGGAGGCATACAGTACAGGAGTCACTAATACTTCAGCCAGCACCAGGGATGGGTTCAGCCTGTCTGGATACTCGGATCACAGTGTGTTTCTCACCGATGCTTCTGTCACAGCCATCATCGTTGGCTGTAGGGGACAGTGTGTGATGGCAGGAAGTCTTACCTAAAAAGCTCAGTGTAAACAGAGTCAGGAGGGAAAGGGAAACAGTACAATCAGGTTCTTCCTGGCTTAGCGTTCAGGCTTTAGCTGTAAGGATTAAGGTGACTAAATCGAATTTTAACCTTATGGGAGGGTCCAAATAAATCCCTCGGCAAGATGGATTGGAGTAACCAGAGTGCTTTACTGTTCCCTTTCAAACTCAGCTTGCCACATGCGGAAAGGATGTCTTAAAATAATTGGGTGTTGCAGAAGTAGCAGCGTATTTGTGGTAGTCTGTCTTTCAGCAGAAGCCATCTGAGGTGATAGATGCGTTGAAGTGACAGACTTTAAAAACTTTAAAAACTACAGTTGGATGTTCATGTGCCTGAATGTTTGTGTCTGTTGTTTTTATTATTTTTAGGGATGTGACAAATAAGGACATGGAAAACAGAGGCTGCTGAGATATTGACTCTTCTCAGACAAAATCCCTGGTATTTTGACAAACGGGGGCCATGTTTCCAAATAACGAAAAGTGGGGGTGGCGAGGGGAGACGTGACAGACTGCCACGACTGCTGGGCTGCTCTTGACAATCGTTTGCTGTTGCAAAGCTGTGCTCTGTGTTTGTAGCTCCTCTTGCTGTTCCAAGGGAGGGAGGCTCTTGCTTCCAAGCTAAGACAGGTGAAAGCAAAGGGTCAATAAGGAAGGTTTTTAGTTTGTTAGGGATGCCACTTCCCTGCACTTGGATTTTTAATAGTGAGGATGAATTGGCATGGTTATCCAGGGCTCTGAAGTATATCATGCCCTCAGTACCCTAGTAAATGTCAGACTAGCTGCTGGGGTGATTTCACACCCAGACAACGTCAGCTGAAGTCCTGTAATTGAACCATATAGGAATTTAACCACACAGGTACAGTCTTGAATTTTCATTACAGTCTCCGTGTTAGAGTGTTGTGGAGGATTTAAGATGCATCCGCTATTACCAAAAAAAAGTAATCTGAGTTTCCTTGAGGTATTTTACAAAAATGCCAAGTTCTGCAGATGAGGCACATTTCAGACACTCTCTTCTTGAATTTTTTTTTCTCAATAATACGATGTTTGTGCTAACTGGGATAAAAAAAATTCCACAAGTGCTAAACTTCTCCCATCTCAGATAAAGCTTTTCTTAGAGCATGTGAAAATATTTTTGAGTGCTCAAACTCAAGTTCGATAAGTAGAATAACAAGGCACAGCCACTTCTGCAGTGAAGTTGGAAGTTCTGACTCACAGCTTGAAACACAGTGCTGCCTCTCTCCCTCCCCATACCGTTCACTAGTATTGGCTCAAGCTGTGTGACAACCACCAGGAGGATCAGATGTAGCTTATGAGAGGCCAGCCCTTTGCTCGGGAGCTTTGCTTTTACATACCAGCCTCCTAAAGGAGAAATTTCATTCTAAGATTTTTGGGTGAAGTAGTCCAGTCCTGTGTCGCTCTCAGCTAAAAATATGTCCTAAGAATTACAGGGTTTCAACCCATTAGCTCAGAAGAATCACTTGTGTTCACTGTTGCATCATTTTTGGCCAGCGTTCAGTGCACAATGACAAGTATTTATGCACCTAGAAAAGGAGGGAGAAAGCTACATGGGCTGTGGCTGAAATCATGATTGGAGTGAAATTGTTCCAGCTGAAAACAGTTCTATCTTCAATAGTGCATAACAGCTAAGAATAGCTTTTTTAGGCTGAAGGAACCACATGGGGCTATTCTGCATCGTGTACTAATATGGGTTTTAGGACTAAAAATAAAACAGTATTTTTAGCTGGAAAAAAGTTTGCCTTGAGGTCCCGATTTTTCCATCAGGTAATTCAGAGTAAGAAGATGTGCTACCCAATGCCCTTTCTCTATCAGCAGCAGCAGCCCCCTCCTCCCAGGCTGTCTGCCCCCGAAGCGCATCCGCGGGGCTCCTCCGGTGACCGGCTGAGCGCGGGCCCGATCCCCGCGGCGCCCGGCCTGCCCTCCGCGCCCGCACGCAGCCTGCGCTCACAACATGGTCGCTTCTCAGAGTTAGGCGGTACCTCGCGGGCTTTTAGTGCCACCGGTAAAGCTGAATTATCGACACGTAACCTAGAAGCGGAAAGGGTAAGGCCGCGGGTGACAACGCGAGCTCCTGAGGCGCGGATGCAGCGGCCCAGCAGCACTTCACCGCAGCGGCCCAGGCCCCAGCCGCC